ATGCACGAATGTGATGGAGCTCTAGACCATGGAAAGTATGGGCTGTACATTTTACACTGCATCAAAAAATAACATGTACAGGTGATGATTAACTACACAGTAGATCAAAAAAAGGGCTAGTATAGAACTTCTGTCTGTCCATCAAGAAGCTGTTGATCTTTTGATCATGTATTCAGAATTATAACCATCTGACAGCAATTTATCTCACAGCTGTCCTGAATATGTTGGTGCAAAATTAGTTTTGTTCTTCTAATAAAGATGAGAAAACAAATTATAAAAGGGCAGATATTTGTCATAGTCTTACAGAAGACAGTAATATGTTAGAGTAGTCCATGCACTATATACTTTATATAGAATAAAATAGAACAGAAATTGCACACTATTATGTGATCAGAGGTGTAACTGATTTTAGAGCAGCATGAATCTTTCCCGCTGCATGTAGTAACCAAAACTCTTGCTGCTCATAGAACAGAATACTCAGTGATGTTACTTCAAATCAGTAGGATGTGCTTTGTTTCCAGGCAAAATCAGAAATACATCTCCCACATTTCCCATATCTTGATAGAGTGAGAAACTCTGTAAAGTCCCTTGCCCATTTCCTTCTGCTTTGTCACTCCTGAGTAAACTTCCCGATTCTTGACGTTCATACTTCTGCACAAATTTAAAATTATATATAATGGCAATGATAATTGTTGATAAATATTTTTAATCGTAGGAACTCAGAAAGCATCATAGTCATCAGCAGATTAAAGGCTGCAGTTGTAAGTGTGAAGCAGGTGTGGCTTGATTTACATATGTCTTTTGCATTTTGTTAAATAGACCAGTGACAGAACCAGAAGGAAAATTCAGGAGTCGAGACTCATTTTAAACTTTCTTTAAAAATAATCTGATTTACATAATATATAAACATAAAGTATTTCTGCAGCTTGACCCTGAAGGTAGGAGCTCTGATCTCTTAATTATAACATGGGAGTATTTTGCGTATGTCAGTTAAAGTTTCCATATCTCATTTTCCTGGTTTGTCAAGTAGAGAAAATAATAATTACCCTCTTCGTAGGGTTGTTAGTTCTTTTTAAGGACTTTTAAGCACTATAAAAAGAAAAATACCCTGTGATAGCATTCCTAGTAATTATGCAGTTTGGCTGTCTGCAGCCCGGAGGGCTTGACTGGTTACCAGGGACTGTAATTACAATGGTTTCAGACACATCTTGATGAGATGTTATTACTCAGCTCACGTCTCTAGCCTGTTGCTGTGTTATAAGAACTGCTGCCTTCACCGCTGACAGTTGTGCAACTTCCTTCTGCCTTCTAAATTTGTCGTTTCCAAGGAATTCCTTTCTTCTGGTAACTGGTAATGATTTCCCAGGCAACAGGTCCTGATGCTGGTGACTGTTTCATCTCCTTTTTTATTTTAATGTTAATGACAGGATAGAAACAGTCAGACTATTTCACCCTTTTTCCTTCCAGATCTTTTATATGTAAGGTCTTTTCTGAATTTAACAGTGTGGGTGCTTGTTGGAAGAAACTGAAAGCCAAGAAGAGTCATTCATTGCTCAGTTCTTCCCAAAAGAAGAAAGATCCATGGGCTGGAGGAAGAAAATGGGACCTAAGGCCAGCCTTAGCTCTGGCCAGCACAAGAGCAAATAGGACAACAATCGGGGTGTGTAGAGAATATATCACATCAATTTGGTAACAGTTTTATTCCCTACATCAAAAATCATCAAAGATTGGTCTCAAAAAAGGAGGTTCACTCAGGTTCACTTACTCCCCTTAGCTCATCCCTCTCAGATACTCATACACAATGTATACTCCTGATCCCACTAAAGCTTGTGATAGACACCTTTTCAAAAAGAAATAAAGACTAACATCTGCATTCCTTGAAAGCAGTAATGGTGAAGAAAAACTATAAGCAAGGCTTGGGAATATGGGAGCTGGTCGAATAAAGAGAGGCTTGATCTCCTCTTCCAGATTCCAGGAAAAGAAAACTGATTTTTCATGTTGTACCCAGAAAGGCTTTCTCCTGAGCATGGGCATGCCCAGATGGTGGGTTGAGAGTATTTAATGTAATTATTTAATCTAACTTAATGTAATTATCGGTCACCAGTCTGCAGCTGTTCATCAGTCATCAGTTTGGTATTTATTGGTTCAGCACACAATGCTTACTTTTTAATTAGCTAAACTGATAAATGGTGGTTTGTCTGACTGGGGTGCTCTCACCCTTTTGGGACCTTGAGAAGTACCCTACAAAGTGCAAGAAAGCACAGGGTGTAGTAGTGTGCTCATGCCCTGTGGTCCCCCACCTTCAACTGCCTGATGGGACGGTGCAGATGCAGTTGAGAAGGAGGTAGTGTCCTAACCTGGATGAATAGGATGGAGAGGAATGGGGACCAGGCATGAAGGGCTGGGAAGCAACTGAGTGAGAAGGGCAAAAGGATGGGGGAAGTATTATCCAGGAGGGCATGGAAATGTATTATCCGGGGTGGGGCGGGGGGGGAGAGTGGGGTATGTCTGGGATGGCTAAAATGGAGACAGGAGGATTTCTAAGAGCAGGCAGGAAGGAGCAGCCCTAACCGAGCCCGCTGCTCCAGCGCAGGAGCTGCTCCGTCCCTGCTCCCTCCCTGCTCCCTCCCTGCTCCCTCCCTGCTCCGTCCCTGCTCCGCCGCTGCTCCGCACGCAGTCTGCAGGTGGTGCAGTTGCCTCGAGAAATGCGTTTCGGGTCGTTTGGGTGACTTTTCAGTGTGAATTAATCACATTCACGGAAGCTTTCACCGGTAACTGCTGTTTTGATAGCAAAGTAGGTAAGAGGACTACCCTAATCTTTATTTAATTCTAAGCACTTCCTAACTTCTTGAGAAGAGTGGTAAATGCCCAGTTCATAGCACTGAGAACTAAGACATCATTCCTAGAGATGGCGATGCAGTTGCTGGTGCTTTCCTTTATCTCATCTATATTTTAATTAATGATTTCAGACCCTGTAGCTAGACTTAATAATCAGGACAGATATATCATCTTGTAGATAATGATCAAGTCAATACAGCCGCAGGGATGCAAGTAAAATCTGTATGCAGATTCATGCAATATGTTACGCAAGCAGCAGAAAGAGGCAGAAACACCTAAAGAAAAAATCATGTTACACAACATTATTTCCAAACCTTCTAATCCTTTTGTTTTAATGTTCTACCATATGAAATAAAGTTAGTAAGTACATTTATTTAATTGCTTTAGCATTTTATAGCTGCTTCTGCAGAATACCAGGACATTTTGAACCTCTTCTTATGTTACACCTCATACTATGTTCCATTGATGTCATCTACCTGGACAAAGCATTCGACACTGTCCCATATGACATCCTTGTCTCTAAATTAGAGAGACATATATTTGACAGATGGACCACTCGGGGGATAAGGAGTTGGCTGGATGGTGATACTCAAAGAGTTGTGGTCAACGGCTCGATATCCAAGTGGAGAGCAGTGGTGAGTGGTGCTTCTCAAGAGTCGGTGTAGGAACCAGCACTGTTTAACATCTTTATTGGCAACATGGACAGTGGGACTGAGTGCACCCTCAGCAAGTTTGCCGATGACACCAAACTGTGTGGTGCGGTCAACATGCTGGAGGGAAGGGATGGCACCCAGAGGGACCTTGACAGGCTTGAGAGATGGGCCTGTGCAAACCTCATGAAGTTCAACAAGGCCAGGTGCAAGGTCCTGCACATGGGTCGGGGCAATCCCAAGCACAAATACAGGCTGGGTGATGAATGGGTTGAGAGCAGCCCTGTGGAGGAGGACTTGGGAATATTAGTGGATGGAAAACTGACTGTGAGCCAGCAATGTGTGTTCACAGCCCAGAAAGCCAACCACATCCTGGGCTGCACCAAGAGAAGTGTGGCCAGCAGGTCGAGGGAGGAGATTCTGCCCCTCTACTCGGATCTTGTGAGACCCCACCTGCAGTGCTGTGTCCAGCTCTGGGGCCTGCAACATAAGAAGGACATGGACCTGCTCAAGTGAGTCCAGAGAAGGCCATGAGGATGCTCAGGGGGCTGGAGCACCTCCCCTGTGAGGCCAGGCTGAGAGAGTTGGGGCTGTTCAGCCTGGAGAAGAGAAGGCTCCGGGGAGACCTTAGAGTGGCCTTCCAGTGCTTAAAGGGGGGTACAGGAAAGGTGGGGAGGGACTCTTGATCAGGGGGTGTAAGTCATAGGACGAGGGGTAATGGTTTTAAACTGACAGAGGGTAGATTTAGATTAGATGTAAGGGAGAAGTTCTTCCCTGTGAGGGTGGTGAGACACTGGCACAGGGTGCCCAGAGCAGCTGTGGCTGCCCCCTCCCTGGAAGGGTTCAAGGCCAGGTTGGACGGGGCTGGGAGCAGCCTGGTCTGGTGGAAGGTGTCCCTGCCCATGGCAGGGGGGTGGGAACTAGATGGTCTTTAAGGTCCCTTCCAACCCAAACCATTCTATGATCCTATGATATAGCTCCATGGCCAAAACAACAACTATAGACTTTCAGTAAAATTACACTATAAGCAATCTATGTTATTAATGACAACAGCAGAGTTGTCTTTCAGTAGCAGAGCTGTTGCTTGATATCTCATGAGACATTGCTAAACATTCTAGAGTAAAAGCCGCCTCCTCCTTGACACTTTGAAGTCCATAAGACTTTTGATGTTGACTTCATTAATGGTAGGATGAAGTCTTAATGTTGACTATGTATGGTATAAGGCTGACCTTTTACTGAATCACTGTGGCTATGAGTGAGTCAATCAGCTATTTGGTGCATTATCTCCTCTCTCTCTCTGTAACATAATTCAATAAATGTTATCCCAGGTGCAAGCCAAGGAAATTCCTGAGATAGAAGAGGTTCATGACTGCATAGAATTCATAGAGTTCATGGAGTGCAGTTAACTACCTTTGACATTCTTCATGCCGCTTTGTACCAATTTTTTCTTACAAGCATTGCTTGTTGTGAGAATGTGTTCCCCAGTGCTTGTAAAAAGATTAGAATCTGTGCCATTGAAGAAGTACAAGTGTTTATTGAAATGAAAATGCGTGTTTTATAAATCTTGTAAAATGTGGTAGCAAAATACCATGTGGAGTTCAACAAAGTGAAACAATTCTTCCAGCCTTGAGAGTTGCCTGTTCATGTAATGCAAAGCACCAAGTCACATCACAGGAGATCTTTGGGGTAGCAGTACTCTCTTGTATGTAATGAGATCTGCAATGTGATGGGAGATGCTCTGCTAGATATCATCCATTCAGTTATTCAGGATGGCAGGTCCTTCCTGAGTCAGAGGTCTGAGTGGTGGGATGGGTCTCCCCATCATGTGGGCATAGCAGCAGCAGCACCTTTGAGGTCTGAGGATTTATCAGTTCATGGACAGATTACAGGATGCTCGGTTGTTGGACTCTGTAAGCTTCTTTCACAGCAGAAGAGATGGAGGAATTATTCTGAGTCATAGTCATTAATAAAACAGACTGCTTTTAATTTAGCTGTGATTGCTTTGGTAATGTTGTAAATTTGCATGATTAGTCCATTATTACTCATGTGAGAAACATAACTAATGTGCAGCAATCTTCTCTAGAATTTAGTTTAAAAGCAGGATAGAGAAATAGCATGGAAAATAGCTTCTTTGATGTTCACACAGCACTGGCTCCCTATGATAGAATGATCTATAAAACCTACATCTTCTTTCACCTATATTGGTTTCCTGATGTGACTGGAGAATTGCAGCTCTATTCATTTCTGATTCCCTGGGAAATAATATGTTTTGTTTTATGGGATAAACAGATTCAAAATCTCAGATACAGCTAGAAAGTTTACTACGTGTGATTTTTGGACTCGCTTTGTTTCTCCCTAATATTCTAGCTGGCAGTAGCCTTATTTGCCTATGTATCTATATATCTGGTGTAGTCTTACCATACTAATTACCTTTCCCACTGTTTAAAGGTATATACCAGCTTTTTGCAATCACTGATTAATACACATTCATAACTATTCGCTTTTGGGTTGCCTTTCGTCCATTGCTTCACACATGCATTCGGGAACTAGTGCAGTGAAACACCCAACTCAAGTAATCATTTTTGTTTCCTTTTTAAGGGTAAGAAAAGTCAAGTGTTATACACGCCAACAATGTCAGAAGCGGTTTGAGTTTTGGGGTGAATAGGTGAGTGCTGGTGTCCAACATAAACCACATAAAGAGACCTGATTTTTCTAAACAAGTGAGTTATGTGCTTTCTGAAAGCCAGGTGCTTCTAAAGGCTTCTAACTAGACATCTAAAAAACTGAGTCACTGAAGCTGCTTCTGGAAATCCTGACCAGTGTGCTTTGTCTGAAGTCACATAATAAGTTAAAGGCAGGGAAAAATGAATAACTGACTGTTGTTTTCAACTGACCTTTGATGCCTCCTTTGCCTACTCATTAGATTTCTCAGTGGCATTTTTCTAGTCCACCCTTTCTGCATCTCATAATTGCTTACCAAGATACATCATCATTTTCCTGCTGGTCTGTCATTAACATTCCTTTTCTGTGCTGCCTCCCCCCAGGAGCAGACCAGTCAATACCATGAGATGATAATGCTGTTATACCAATTACCTATTTATTTTCTTATATTTCCTCTATCATTCTGCTGTGTTTCAAGTTACACTTGCACATGAAACTCTTTGACACAGGAACCATTATTTTTGATTGTATAACATCTAGAATAATGATGTCTAAATTTATAAATAATATAAATTTATAAATTTCTTGGGATTCACTACATTAATGCTAATACTACTACTAAAGAATTACAGGGTTTGGTTGTCATCCATGTTGATTTTTCAATTTAGAGCCAATTCCATGTGTTGTGAAGCAGAGTTCAAGAACCTTATGCTTTATGCCTTCTGCTTGAACGTATCGGGGTGGGATGGCTGCTGAAAAGTTATTTCCAGTTTTCTGAGTCAGAACTATCTGTGTATTAGGCAGGACTAAAGCAACTCTACTTACTCCAGGGGCAAAATTTAGCAAGTTTTCCCTGTAGTAACTTTCTATTGCTTTTTGCCTGAGAATGCTCTCACATGTCAGAATAGCAAGAGCATTTTGTATATGAGGCTATGGAGCCGCCTCTGTGAGATTTATAGTCAAGAATTTTCCATGGATTGTATGCAATGCTCATCCTTACAGTAGACTGGAAGGATGAAGAATCTGTCTATGTCTAGAACATATTTCATCACAGTAACTAAACATATAAAGTATGTTTTTTCTCACCAATACATTTAATATTTATGGAATTAGCAGTTTGTTTTGCTTTGTAAAAAACAGAAAGAAAAATTCCTAATACAGCTCTAATTTCTGGGCGCAGCTGGAAAGCCATCCCTCCCTACACTTTTCACAACTACTGTCCATGCTCAATGCCATACTTAGACCCTGTCCTTCCTTAAACCCTGGTTTAACATCCAGCACATTCTGTAGCTTTTTGTTATTATTTAATGGAAGTTCTGAGTGAGCAAATTATAGTCATAAACCCCTCAGGAATTTGGTTTTATTAAGCAATTTTCTCAGTCTTAGCAGAATTATATAGCACACATTAATTAGTCCTTACAACAACCCCTTTCAAGAGTAGGGACAAAGAATGTATTATTGTCCTCACAACAAAGCAGAGAAGTTAAAACTAATTTAAATCAGACATATTAGCTTCTGGTCTTGTTCTCATAGGTATTACTGATGAATTACATTCATGTGAATGACTGAAGTGCCTATTTAATCTTTTTGCAAAGAAAATTACTTTGGAATGGATCATGACCAAGAGTCCTCATGATTTTATGCGTGTATTGACCTGGGCCAGCGGGTTAAGTGAGGCTCACCAAGCTATAAGTGCTGGGCACTGAAGCGTCTCACCAGCATATGTACTGATGTCACTACGGTGTAAAAATGTGCAATAGCTTCTGTTATTTCCACTGAGTCCTCATTCAGGTCCAAATTCAGGACAGAAAACTGAGCCTGTCTTATTTTAAGCATGTAGACAGTCTCAATGCTTTATTTTTACTTCTGATTTTTTTCTGGTTGAGCTTGAGTGACTGGTTGCTAACTTTGACATCTAGTTTTTTTATATTCTTGACATGTTTCCTGGAACAATTTTATGCCTTTTTTTTTTTTTTTTTTTTTTTTTTAAATATCAGAACATATGCACAAAGGTACATAGGTGGGTTTTAAAAATCCTTACGTGCTATTTTCCCCTGTAAGATGAGAGCATGTACATTGTCAGTATGTCTTCCAATATTCCCCTTGCAAATGCTTTTTTAATATATCCAGCTCAATAGTGATGTATTTCTTTGCAGGCACTCTTGTGCTTCTGTCTTCATGACATCTGAATTAATCTGGATTAACCAGATTTTCTTCATAACACTGTTGTGAATGCAAGTAGTGTTCCTATTTTTGACCTACAGCTAAGCTTTCTAATCTAGAGATATTGTCAGATGACCCTCATTTTGGTTTAATGATTTGAAACATTTAAAAATATTTTTTTAGCACCAGCACAGTATTTTGCATGTCCAAATTCTCGATTGTCTTTAATTGTGATGTTTTTATTTTTCCTTTCTGGAATAGTTTTCCCTATTCTCTAGACTTTTTATGTTTTTTTCAGTTTCTAAGTTAAGGAACCTACTAATTATACCACTATTAACTACCCAGCCCTGGTACATTTCTTCTCACAGTGAGGAGGGATACTCACCCAGTGCATTCAATAACACAAGCAAAACCACTATGTTGTCATGCAATTAAAGGCTGAATTGCAATGCACTTGCATGCATGCACTTAATTAATTTAATTAATTAAGTTTCATTTATGTTTCCCAGCTTTTGAGATCTGGACTTCATAACCTTTGTATTTTTCTAAGTAATTTTAAAAATAATATTGTGATTATTAAAAGGAAGAAAAGTATTCTGTCACTTAGATTTTATTCTTAGGTTGTCTCACCGTGAAGTTATTTACATGAGTGTATACCAAATACCACAGAAGAGGCCTTTAATGTTCATGGCCTGAAACATATAGACTCATGACTGCTGGGCTTGTTGCCCGATTTTGGAAGAGGAAATACTCCAACGGTTGTAGACTCTTCAGCCTACGGGAATCTAATGACCTTTTCCAGCCCCAGATCTGAAATTAGTGATGTGGTCCATGTTGATGCCTGTCAGATTTCTGCTGGAGACAGCCACAAACTGAAGTCCTTGGTCTTTGCTGCCCAAAACTGTAATTTTAACACCAATCCTAAACCAGTTTATCAACTCCTTCCAGACATCATGCAAAGTCTGTTACATCAGCCCAGCTTAACATTGGGATCTGGGGCTGGCAGGAACCAGTAAGATTAAATTTAAGACTAACTTAAAGTGTTTTTTTAGATCTCAAGGGTGGTTATAATTCATGATGGGACAAAAACATGTCCTGGAGTTAAATTTGCCACCCAGACTGACAACCTGACCCAGGTTTGGGTCTGGGAATGGCTGGGGGTGGCTAGGTCTGCTGGAAGAGATTTGGGCTTAAGGTTTAGGTGATGGAAGAGGGCACAGGCAAGCAAGGTCAATGAGTTTTGTTTAGTTCTGGATCTGGCAAGAGTTTCAAGGTTTGATCACGGTTGTGGCCTCTTTGGTTTTTATGAGGCTGGAAGGGCCCACTGCATTAAAGTTAAGGAAGGATTTGCACTCATGTTGGATTAATGCTTCTCTTGGCATCAGCCCTAAATTTAGCATGGGCTTCTTCTCAGTCCAGTACTGATCTTTCTTCATCAGCCCCTGCTGGCCTAACCTTTTTCCCGACAAAAATCTTAGAATTAATCTTGACATGCAAAATTCTGTAAGATGAAAACCTAAAATTAGATAGGGATGTCATATTGGCACAAGCCCCAACATTACCTCAGTGGAGCCTTCTACATCCACCCTTAACCCTACATCATAGACCTTGTCAACCTGAACCTTAAACCCTTGTCTTATCCTAAATGTGACTCTTGCCATTCCAACTCTTAATCTAGTTATGTGGCTGAAATCATGGTCTTAAGCTAAGAAGAGTTCATAATACAGGCCAGCACAATTACAGCAGATTTTATTTGCTCACATGGAGCAGTTACATTCAGTAATACTGCTTCAAGGCCCAGCTAGATAAATCAATGTATTTATAACAGTACATTGTTGTTCCTGAGTAACTGAATTTTCCCTGAACACTGCGGGGATGTGAGGACATAGAGCTGGCAAGTCTGGGGAGACATAACTGTACCAGGCTTAGCCATTACCCAGAACATACAGATAGCAGGAGGTTCCCATTATGGCCTGTGTGTAATGACAGCAGCTGGCAGTTGGTAAAACTCCAGCTGAGAGCCTTTATATCTGAAAAATTCAAAATTAACAGCTTTAGAAACAGAGAGGGTCTTATTTCCACTGCCAGAAAAAGTGCTGTTTAATGTGCAAGGGCAGTAGGGATTTTTGTGTATGACACGCATGGATACTTTGATATACAGCCTAGATGCTCTTTTTCAAAATAGCACTTATTTTAAGCTGACAATGGGAGGTCTCATTAGGAGATTAGTAAAGTTGAATCATTTTTCTCAAGGGTGAAATGTGTCAGCTTTATTCCTTCTGGTAATCCATCTTTCATCAAAAAGAGACATGGCTAAAAATTTTAAACACATATTGGAAAACCAGTTCTTATTCTTCCTAACTAGAAGTAATATTCATATGCATTCACATTTTTGGGGGACCAAATAATGACATGCAGGATGTTACAGAAAACAGGAGCAGGTTAAAAAGAAAATGCAAGCTCTTTGTCTTCCAACAAAATGAGAAACAGAGTGACAGGGATTGATTTTTTTTTTTTTTCAAGATAGACAATGAAGGGGAAAAATTACTCTCAATATGATAGTGAAACGTTTAATTCCCCCAGTAAATCAGTCCTCCTTATCTTGCTGTGAACTTCCCCTGAATCTTCCCCTGAATCATATTTCACATATAACCAAAAAAGCACAACTTTTTTTCTACTACCAGTGAGTGGTATTAGACTAGAAGCAATGAACCTTTTTCTGAAGTATCTCCTTACCTGATCTCTGGTGGATCAGAAGACCTATCATGGGATTCTTCTTTCATGGAGAAGTTTCTGGTGTGCTTAGCTAATGTGTCTTGCCAGTAGGAGATGCTTTCTCTGTGGATACAGGGCACAGCAGAACACCCCTACATTTCAGGTGTGCTGGGAGATCATAAAGGAGAGTAGGCACGGTCCTGTCAGTGCCTTCTGGTGCAATATTGCACTAAGCACAGCTCAAATGGATCAGGATCTTTAGCTTTCTATTTTGTGGCAGTTTATGAAAAGAAACATTAGATATAACGTGAAAAATCTGTAACTTTAAAAGGATTCTGAGTGCTGGGGAAGAATTGTGGAGGAACCCAACTCATTGAGATGAATGGGCTATGCAATGGCCAAATAAATTTTCAGGTTATCTATCACAGGGAAAGGAATAATTTAAACTATTAATTTATCCAATTAGTTCCTATAGTCATTGTCTTCACTTACGAATTAACTCCACATGTAACCCTAGGTTGACTATGGAAACTGCTATCTCAGTGAGGAGCACCCGCCAGTAAAATTACCTGAATCCTTGGATGCATAAAAAACTGGAAAATACAGTCGAGGGAATGTCTTCAACTGGCATGTTCTTTGTAGCTTTACTCATTTCTAAAGAATTCAAGATATGAAGAAAGTTATAAACCAGGCAATGGAAATGATTAGTCACAGGGATGGTGTGTATGGGCAAATAGCACGGAGCAGGTGACATGCCAGATTACCACAATGATGTGTTCTTAGGTTCATGTGCTCATACCTGCCTCAAGATTTCATTGAGGCCAATATTGCAGCAGGAGTCAGTGCTCAGAATCCACAATGCTGAAAACAAATGCTGTGGTATTAGGTGGGATGGGTTTTTTTCAGAGATACACAAATAGTTCAGGGCATGAAAGAAGTATCTAGCAGTAGAAATCTTGCTTACGGGGAAGTTATTTTTTAATTTTCCATCTGATGGTTTGTTGTACCCTCCTCAGAAGTATTTAACGCTGATCACTGCTAGAGAACTTGGTGAAAAATTAATATGATCTAGTCAGAACATTCTCATATAACTATATGTATAACTCCTTTGATTTAGATAATATTATTAAAATGAAAAAACTGTTCATTTGCATACCTCTTTCCAGGACAGGACCTAACTGCTGTTAAGTACCATCCTGTTATTTGCAATGTGAAACAAGTAGTCATAAGCTAATGTGCTTGACTGAACTTCCTCATATTAACACTACTAACTAAGAGCTGGGCTTCTGCTTTTATGCCTCGCTAATCTTCACAGAAAATTGTCTTGGAGGACAAGACGTGTAGGCGGAGTGAGTGATACAAGGAAGGGACATAGGCAGCTTTGTGTACAAAACATTCCCCCTACGCAAACGGCACTCTGGAGGTGGCTGCTATTTTTAGTCTCGAGTTTAAAAGCCACAGTCCAAAAATAAGAAAGTGTCACTACAAATAATAGAAGTGAGACCAACAGGTCAAATCTGGGCTCTTGCTTTTTTCTTTTCTTTTTTTTTTTTTTTTTGAAACATGGATGTGTGTGGGCTGTGAAGATGGTTTGAGCAAGTCACTTTTGAGAATGAAGAACAATATGGGAAACAAATGAAAAATGCTTTTAGTGTTGATCATTTCCTTTTTCATAATAACAGTTGAATGGAACATATTAGTAAATCTCACATACTGTACACCTACATTTTATATTTTTTTAGAGAGTATTTTGGGAGCTTAATCTGAGATACCATAGGAGGCTCTAGTGCTTCTTTTGACTTAATCACTTGTTTGTTTAAAAATGTGGCTTAGCATGGCATGTGTTTTTATGCAGCAAGAAGGGCTATTTATGACTGAAAATACACAGTAAATTAAGGAACTAAATTATAATCTGCTCTTTACCCTGTGTTCATTCCCCACGAGGACACTTCTACCCTTACACAGAAAGTGAAGTGGCCAGTTCTCTCTGAACTTGTCCTTGCTTACTCCACTGTTTCCATTTGTTTAAGTCCCTCTAAAAGTACTAAATGTCTCACTTGTATGTGATGAGGCTGTTTGGCCTCACGCTGTGTAACCTTGGGGGCTTAGTCTAAGATCAGTTTAGGTCCTTTAAAGCTATTGGGGCATCAGAGAGAAATTTTACTAAGTGGAACCTGTATTGTTAACAGTGAACAGAATCAAACTCAAACCTGACCTGCAGAGCAGCTTTGATAACTTTTTTTTTATCCTCTAACTGACACTGAACCATTAATTTTATGTTTCTGTTGATTCCTGCCAGGAAATGAAAGCCCTCTCAGGGTAACATCTCAGCAAAGACTTGTGTTTCCCAGCAAGGACCTGTTCAGCCTAGGGACGGCTGGCACCTACCGGGTCCAGCAAAGCTTCTATGTCACCGCATCTTCCTCCCTTCTGCCCCCATATTTCTCTCCCCATATGAGTCATCCTGTGTGCAGCAGATGTTCCTGCCCCTGCACCATGATGCTGTGCTGCTCCACAGTCCTCGACAGGGATCTTTCTGGCACAGGGCTTTTTTGTACTTGCCTAAAGCGAGCTCCAGCTGTACTGTTCCTGGCAGGAGGAGACTGATTTTCATGTTGTGGGATGAACAGCTGACTGCAACTGTCAGGAGGAAAGAGGGTTAAAATAAACTTGAATTAATAAGGGTAGAATATAATTTAGATTCTGCTGACTCTCAATAACCATTCTGATGCTTGTTTTGTTTGGCCTTTCTATCTGCATCATGGTACAAAACCCTACATCTTGAGTTTCGGTGATTTCCCTTTGAAACAAGATAGTGTTTCAACTCTCCAAAGACTGAACTCCTACCACATTTGTGATGGTGAAAGTACGGAATAACTCCACTGACCTCAGTCTCAGTTACTCTAAATAATATTATGAGGTACATCTTTAGCTAGTCTTTCCTGTCGTTCTTTTATGTGAGGGGTTTTTATGTGGGTTGGTTTTGGTTTTTTTCCTGTTGCAAATTTTTCTAATGATAGCAGTGCATTCTGAAAAACACTGGATTGACACTCTGAACATCAAAGCCTCTTCCAAAAGAGCATATACTGAAATACTGCCCAGCCTATGTTCCTGAAGCATAACCTGACAGGATAATTTATTAGGAGATTATGATAATTCAGTCTCTAAAGCCACTCAAGCCCTGGCCCTAAGCAGCTAGAAAAGATCAGTTTGTCTCTAGACTCCTTCACCTTTCTTTTCTTTCCCCCTAACTCTGCTGAAAGCACTTCCCAATGTCTTGTTCTTTTAGATAGTTTGACAATAGACTGAGTAAATTTCCCCTATCACATGGTCATAATTCTGGTCATTTCAGGAAAGGTTGCTGTTCATTCAGTCTGGTTTCTTTGGACAACTGACCTGTGTGGCCAACATGGGGCTCTTACATCCTGTAAATTATAAGATGTTTCATACCTGATCACCAGGTGGGTTAGTCATGTCTGGTCACCAACATTTAGTTCTGAATTATTCTCTCCCGCTGCTCTTCCTCATACTTTTACTCAGATTTTCTGTCTTCTGATTTCCAAGGGGTCTTGGTTTGTGGGTTACAGCTGCTATGGGCTTTGAGCCGGCTCTGTCAGCTCAAAGGTCTGAAGATGGTCTCAGCATGCTGATGGTGTCACCAGATATCAAACATGGGTCAGGACAGCAGCTTTCTGCCATGGAAGCTCATTTCACTGATGGCTATAGTGGATGTGAAAGGTAGCAGTGATAGGAATATTTCTTGGTTTCTGTCAAGGCACACTCTTCCATGCAGGGAATGTGCACTTTTCTTGCTATAGCAGCTATGTTATCTCCAGTGTTATTAGAAAACACAGATTTACAACTGCTTATCTCAGAGGTGAGGAAATGTCCTGGCCTCAGTACGTCTTATTTTGTGGTATTTTCAACAGACAGAAGGCTTTCAAAAGCTCAGAGGGCTGAACTTTTCTTCTTCATAGATATATCTCACTGTGCTTTATCTGTGAGGTTATCTTCTGGGTGAAATCAGAGATCCCTCCATGCAGAGGGTTCTTGCAAAATCCTCAAAGACAGATTTTGGGGATTGGTTTCCTCTAAACATTATAATTGCAGAACAGCAAATTATCATTTGGTCTGGTCTCAGTAAAAAAGCTAATAATTAGAATGTACTTTAATTCCACTTATATATTTGTATCATTTCTTAAGTTACACACAGGTATAAAATCTAAGTTTCAGTGGATGCAGCTAATTCATAAACCTTATGCAAGTATAGGTACAGAATTACTTATGAAAAGGGTGGTACACAGTGCTGGGAAAGGGATAAGAGTGAGAGGTCTTTAATTGCTGTGTTGAAAGAGGTGGGTTTAGACCCACTTCCACTCCCTTCCCTGCATGTCCAGCCACCAGATGGGGAAACCTGGCTTCACATCGCCAGGGCTGCTGGCAGGAGAGGCACCTCTCTGCCAAAGCCATGCTTCCACCTCCAGGACAATGGTACTGATGGGCTTGTGGAAGGCACGTCAAAATACCTTTCAAAATGGATTAAAAGTGAAGAAGTTTTGCAGGGGTAAGTTGCATGGGAAGGGAATTCCTATAAGTGTCTGGGGAAGAGATTGTTCATAACAGATACCAACATTTGTGGTTCTCCAAGGAATGTGTCCTCCAACATGAAATGTAAAGGACAGCAGAGTTCCCAACCATAGAGGTCAAGGAATATGCACAAGCAATTGGGTGGATACAGGAAGAAATTTTTCGTTTTGATCAAGCATTCTTTTCTGTTTCTTCACAAATATTTTATCGACATTTTTTATTTTGTTGTCTCACTTGAATGTTCTAAGTAGATAATTTTAGTTCTCATTTCTTTATTTCTCTCTGGAGACAAAAGTGGTTTCAAAGTAGCTGCCTAGTCTTAATTTGACTTCTAAATATGTGGCGATCCTTAACATTGGAACACCCCAAGCAAGTGTTTAGCTTCCCTTATGCTGGCCATAAATACCCAGAGGAAAAGAGAAAATTGTCCACAGGAGCCTCACAGGCCAGTTTGAAAGCTGGTGCTGTGGAGGTTAGCAAAAGCAGCAGCATTGCCCGGTGGCTAACAGCAATGAATAAGCTCTCTGGCATGTGGCAAGGTGAGGAGGAACCTCACCTTAACCCCAGGTGTCCCCGTGAAGCAGTTCCCAGCTTTGAGGGACAGTCTGTGTGATATTGCAAGTTTGGAAATCTCAGGAAGGATTTGCCAAGGTCAGCCTGAGCCAAAGAATTTCCCAATGCCAGATTGTAGGGAGACATTTTCACTGGCAGACTTAGCAGCTCTCCGATGGTGAGCAGGAGGCAAAGAATAAATTCACAGCTCTGGGAGTGCATGAACTGTTCACGTTAGCTGATAGGCATGTATCCCAAAACACACCTGGCCTTGGGCACCACAGTCAGTATTACTGGAACACAGCTTCTTCCATGTAGGATATAAATCCAATGGCATCCTCTTAAATCAGACACTTAGAAGGTTTCATTCCAACATTTTCCTTTCCAGTTGTGGTGGTGGCAGTGTTCCCAGTGACACTGTGGGAAATCCAGATTCAAGTCTTTCTTTTGTGTCTGGGATGATACAAACCCCTGTTGTATAGATACTTATGAGAGGAGATGCTGGGAACGGGA